TCTTCAGGAAGGAGGGTTTGGGTCAACCCACTAAGTGAATCATCACAGCCTGCTGAGGTGCTTGCTGAAGGCAAAGGAAATACAGACTGGGTAGTGGGAGAAAATACTTATAAATACCAGCTATACCCATGTGGCCAGTTACAGAAATAAGGACTGGAAATTATCAAGAGTAATTTTCCTTATTTTGTTATGAACATGTTTGTATTACATATCTTTGTTTTCTTTCCTCTCTTATCCCCCTTATCATGTAACATAAGATGTGTTGACTTTATATAATAATTTTTAAGTTGTGGCATTTCAAGCAAAAGAGTAAACATCACTCAAATTTTGCACCCTCCTCTGGAAAAGTGCTAGTGCATTTTTTGTTGCACGCATGACAGCTGTTAGGCCAAAGTATATCTTACTTTGGATATTAAGTATGGTTTCACAAGATGTATATGACTGCTAAGTGATGAAGTTGACTTATGATGGGTATTTTGTGTATCAACTTATCTCTGTCAAAAGGTGCCTAGTTATTCAAACATTATTATGGCTGTTCCTGTGAGGGTGTTTGTGGATGAGATTAACATTTAAATCACTGGTCTTTGCGTAAAGCAGATCACCCTTCATAATATGAGTAGACCTTATTCAATCAGTTGAAGGTCTGAGTAGAATGAAAGGCTGACCTTGCCTGCTCCATTTCCCTCAACCCTCCTCTTGCGTGGAACAAGAGGAATTTTCCAGAAGACTGCCTTCAAGCTTTTATCTGCACCATCAGCTCTTCTATGTCTCCAGCCTGCTGACCCACATTGTAAATTTTGGACTTGTCAGCCAAAATTTACAGAGTATGCATATAGACACAGAGTAGATCAAAGAAAATGACTAAGGGAAGTCTAAATCATTTTAAGATGTTTGAGAAATCACCCAGAACCACAGGGAAAATTGTGATCCATGCTTTTTCTGAAGAGCATCTGGGGACCTCAATATTCAAAGGCAAAAGTGCAGGTATTGAAGAAAGAGGAAGAAATTTTTTAAGGACATGAATAGATAAGAGGCAAGCAGTTGCATCCTTTTGAGTCTTTCATCAGCCATTCACTGAATACACAATTTACACATGAGAGGAGGGTACAGGAATAATTACTTATACATTTGTCTAGTCCAGTAAATCTGCATTTTTATATAAGATAAAATAAACATAGGGCAGAGGAAGCAATCAGATATGCATTTGTCTCAGATGAGCACAGGGATGACTTTGAGTTCTGTCCTTTGTCCCATACCTGTGAAGATATCTATATATAATATATATTATACATACATATATGTATATATAAAATATATAGGGTCTGTTTCTCCAGAGAACCCTGAATAATATATGTTTACATAATCTCAATACCAGAACATAAACCTATAAATTCCCTATGAACATGAATTTTAAGGTAATCTGATTAAAGTAGCTTTAATTCACTTAAAACTACCTAAATGGATCAAGGAGAAAGAATGGCCACCAGAGGGTAAAGCAGTTGCAGGGCAGGTGATGCTGATTAATCTCCAATACAGCTCCTTCAGTGGTCACACACATACTAGTCACTGGTATGTGCAGGTGGCTCTATTCCAGCTGGAAGATAAAGCCCAGCTCTAAGCAGGCCACAGAGAACCACTTCACATAAGAGTTGTAGAAAACCAGGAGTCACTAGAGGGCTTGTTGATATTCACTTGGGGTTGCTGGAAAAATATTAGCATAAGTTATAGATCGTAATCTCAAACCTTTTGGAAGGCCAAAAGGTTTTATTGGGGCAGGCTGAAGGCAGCCACCTCATTTACATTAGCATAGGAAAGAGAGATGATAAACGGCTTTCCCAGTTTAAGTCTGTTTATGCCAAATCCCTTTGTCTCTATTCTGTTTACTCATGTAAATTTTGTGCTGGATGGACCTCTCAGAGGGAGATCAACAGGGAATTACCTGTTAATAGTTAATAGTAATAGTGTCTACTCTGGGCCCAGAACCTAAAGCTTTTATCAGTCATAAAACCATTCTTTTAACCATGTTAATTATCCAGAAGTGTATTAAATTAGAACATCTGTAGTAAAATCTGACTGAATAAATGTAATGATGGAGAGGGAGTCTTGGTCAATTGGCTGCAGTTCGCCCTCTGAAAGCAGCCAACAACCATCCCTAGCCCATTTGAATCACTATAATGGTGTAAGAATGCATTCATTCATCCATCGCTGAGTCAGGGTCTGCAGGCCAGACCTCCACAGGTGGTGGTCCGCATCTCAAGGGCCTGCTTGCCTGCTTTTCTGAACAAAGTCTAGAGCTGTGATCCAGATTGGTTACAAATGTCAGCACTGGGTGTGGGGGTGGGCAGAGCAGACAGAAACTGAAGTCCAAGTTGCAAACAAGAGCGGATGAGGGAAGTAGGCAAGATCAAAAGTTCCTATTTGGGATTCAGGGTGAACAAGAGCTGAGTCTACAAGTTGGAGCTGACCTCAAAGAATCAACTATAGGAGGGAGGCAGGTATCAAGGCCACACCGTAGGGGTCCTCGGAGCCAGCAACTCTCCTTTTGTTGAGTGTCCTGAGCCAAACAGACAAATAAGCTTCTGCTTTTTACTTAACTAGAGCCAACAAGAAAAATAAATAGTTATCTCTAAAGGCTGCTATGAAACAAAAACAGATATTCCCTGTTTAAATAAATGAGGAGACCCCATCACCCAACTGTGGCTGCCATTTCTCTATTCAGCCTGCTTTCTCCCTGGCACATAATTCCTTCAATATTGCTTCAAAGGTACCAGGGTAAACCAAGCATTCTCCTAACCTCTCAGTCACCCAGACTGTAATCATCTGTGATAGATTTGACTTGAGTAATAATGTTGGCTCTCTCTTCTCACAGGCTGTGCAAATCATGGTTGGCCTGATTCACAGTGCACTGGGAACCCTCTGGATTCATTGGATTCTTATAGGAGAGGATTCAAGTAGTCCTGGTCTTATCCCTATAATTGTTATAGTAATTTACTCATTTTTGTCTGCATTTTTTGTGAGTAAACTATGGTATTATTGATTTCGATTCTTTTTTTTTTTTTCAACTGAATTTAAGTGGTCTAGAAATGGGCTAAAGACCCAATCTCTGACTTAAAGGAGCCAATTTTAGAGTGAATACAGACCTAGAAATGCCTTATGTTTGTTACATGTTATAATAATCTTCTTGAGAGGGTCAGGCACCTATATGAAAAAGATATTAAAGGAGTATGCTTGAAGAATAATAAGAGAGTGGCTATTTAACTTTAAGGCTTATCTTTTGCAGAGTGAAAAATCCAAAGGCCTTAGCTTAATGTCTGGGGCTACAGAGGCATTTTTTAGAGACACTGTATACAGAAAGGGGAAAAAAAGGATACCTAGGGGGATGGGAGGAATTTGGGGAAATTAAACAGAGACTTCTAACATGGATGTTCTGAATAAGGATATTATAATAATTCCATGGTAAGAGTTGCCAAAATTCCCACCAAGGGGGCTTAATGACGAGTAGAAAGTTTACCCAAGGTTAAATTTCTCCATAGACAAGAGTTTCACTGCTTCCTTACCCACAACTTTGTACTTTTCAACCAAAAACAAGACTCCACTGGAGAAAAGATTTAGTATAACCCAGTCCCTTTTGCTTTGTGAAAAGGCCTCTGAGATATCCACATACAGCCATTTCCTCCAGAGAAGGGCCTGGCAATCTCTGCTCTGGTCAAAATACATTATTTCCTTTAAGGCTTTCCTATAGTGGGAGTCTTCAAGGGGCAGACGTTTACTAACACTGAGAACTTTCTGGAAAGAATGTATGTAATAAGGAAAAATCATTTAAACTGAAATAATACAATCAATCACCTATTGCAAATCATCTAGAAAGAATCCTCAGCCCAAGATATGGAAGAGGAGCGTATGACAGATATTTAACCATAGATAATAACTATTCAGTTTTATATCTCTTGTGTATCAGGAACCTTCGAGAGGCATTTCAGGTTTATTTTACCTTAATTGCCACAACAACCCCATGAGATAGCCATCATTCATCTCCATTTTACAGACAGGAAAACTGAGGCTTAAGTGGCTCTCACAGAGTGACACAGCAATAAAGTGTCAGAGGTTAAAAACAAATAAACACAAGCTAAGATGCTTCTGCTTTCATGACAGAATTTCATTTACCTGGGTTGAAGCATCCCCAATCCCCTTCTTAGTATGTTTGAAACATCTTTTATAACATCTGCTGCAGGCAAATTGAAGGCAGGAATACGATACTGGACAAAATTTAATTCTTGGTATACCAGAAACCACAATCCTTTCAACCAGTGCCAGAAGGTGAATGACAGCACTCAGGACAGGATGCTTGTGGAAGGCAACCTATAAATCTTCACATCTAATGCTTTCTGAAACTATCTTCCATTCATAAGTTTTTTTTTAGAACATTATGGGGGAAACGTAGTTCTTGCAAGTGAGAGCCACCACACTAGTCCCTAGGAATTGTTTTCTAATAATTAACTTCATAAGATCAATAAATGACAATTAAAACTAAAAACAAAAAAAAACAAGTGCATGTCAAGCCTGGAAGAGGTGCCCTAGTGGTGGGCTACATGTTGATAACACGTTTCACCTCAAATAGCAAAACTAAGAGGGCAAGCCCGATTGCCAAGGTCTCTTCCAGTGCAAAACCCTACCCACAAAAAAAAAAAGAAAGAAAGTGAAGTACTTACAAGTCCTCATAAAATCATTGTGAGATCCGTGAGTCCCATCACCTATGCAATTAATGACCAGAGACTTTAAAACATTTTTCATCCCTATAATAGAGAAAAAGTGAATCTATTTAGAAATTATACTAGTGGTCACTACAGACATCAAATGGGGTTTTCATGTTAAAATCACTTTCTTCAGAAAATTCAGTGCTGCTTGGGATATCAGGAATGCCACTGGCTCTAGGGAAAGAAGCTATTGAGGGAATTATCATAAGGCATTGTGTATTTATAAATGCTTATTGCTATCCCCAGTTCATCAGCTCAGGATCCAGCAGCGTAATACAGAAGCCTGTTACAAGATATAAGGTATGTCAGAATTTTTGAAGCAACTCTGAAGATTAAAATGTTACTTGGTATAAACCCCCCCCAAAAAAGAGAAATTACATTTTGGGGGGGGAAAGACTTCTCCAAATATTTAAATTTTAAAAAATTATTTAATTTTTGTAAAGATATGCTCCAGTGCATCCTCTATGGGTGTTGGAGGAGGATACAGTGTGAGCAATAAAATTGTATATAGAGACAGACATGAGAGTTTCCAGGAAATAAATCAAGGAACTATCTCAAGGAGTGTTATAACCAAACAAAATTTGAGACAAGGTCTTACTCTATCACCTTGGCTGGAGTGCAGTGGCATGATCATAGCTCAGTGCAACCTGGAACTCCTGGGCTCAAATGATCCTTCAGCGTCAGCCTCAGCCTCCCAAAGAGCTGGGACTGCAGGTGGCTGCCACTACACCTGGCTAATTTTTTCATTTGTTGCAGAGATAAGGGTCTTGCTATATTTCCCAGGCTGCTCTTGAACTCCTGGCCTCAAGGCACACTCCTGCCTTGGTCTCCTAAAGTGCTGGGATTATAGACATGAGCCACTAGACAGCCAACAAGCAAAAGCTTGACCCTGAAAGTCAAAGCATTGGAAAGGCAAGAAATGTAATTAGGATAAGATTAGAAAATTAGTGTCTAGTTAAGGAGAATGGAGAAGACAAAATAACGTGTGAAAAGAGAATTGCCTTCAGCAAAACCAGGTCTAGGAAATATCAGTTAGAACACAAACCAGGTATCATGACAACACATCTAACAAAGGATGTTCCTTTTTTTTTTTTTTTAATTGTACTTTAAGTTCTGGGGTACATGTGTAGATCGTGCAGGACTGTTGCATAGGTACACACATGCCATGGTGGTTTGCTGCTTCCATCCCCCATCACCTCCATCAGGCATTTCTCCTAACGTTATCCCTCCCCAAGCTCCCCACCCCCCGCTGTCCCTACCCTAGCTCCCAACCCCCAACAGAGCCCAATGTATGATATTCTTCTCCCTGTGCCCATATGTTCTCATTGTTCAACTCCCACCTATGAGTGAGAATGTGGGGTGTTTCGTTTTCTGTTCTTGTGTCAGTTTGCTGAAAATGATGGTTTCCAGATTCATTCATGTCCCTGCAAAGGACATGAACTGATCCTTTTTATGGCTGCATAGTATTCTATGATGTCTATGTGCCACGTTTTCTTTGTCCAGCCTATTATTGATGGGCATTTGGGTTGGTTCCAGGTCTTTGCTATTGTAAACAGTGCCACAATGAACATACACGTGCATGTGTTCCTTTTTCTTTAGAACTTCCCTCCTGCCTTCCACAGTCCCCTCGTGGTTAGGATCATAGCTCTGGAGGCAGATTGCCTGAATTTTCCAATTCTCACTGCCCCACTACTACCTGAGTAACCTTGAGCAAATTACTTTATTCTGTGCTTCTTCTCATCTAAAAAATAAAATGTAGATAATAATAGTAACTACCTCAAAGAGTTGCTGTGAGGATTAATTAGTAAGTAAGCATGAAGAACAGTACCCGGGGCTGGGCACAGTAGCCCACACCTGTAATCCCAGTAATTTGGGATGCCAAGGCAGGCGGGTCACCCTGAGGTCAGGAGTTCAAGACCAGCCTGGCCAACATGGCAAAACCCCATCTCTACTAAAAATACAAAAATTAGCTGGGTGTGATGGCACATGTCTGTAATCCCAGCTACTTGGGAGGCTGAGGCAAGAGAATTGCTTGAAACGGCGAGGTAAAGGTTGCAGTGAGCCAAGATCACCACTGTACTCCAGCCTGGGTGACAGAGCAAGACTCTGTCTCAAGGAAAAAAAAGAGAAAGAAAAAATAGTAACAGTACCTGGCACACAGATAGCATTCTGCTTATCAAAACCTGCTGAGGAAAACAGGGTGCTTTCAGGGATTAGTAAGAGAAGAAAACGAAATTTTATTTTATATTTCAGATAAAGGTCCACCTATTTTTTCTTTCAATAGAATAGGATCAGAGCAGTATGAGGGGTCATTTTTCTCAGGCCCAGATTGGAAGCTATAATTATGGGCATTAAGTTATTGCACTTTTATTAACTTCTATTCCGAAGGTAGCCACTGTTAATATTTTTCATTCTAGTCCTTTTTCTAAGCTTTCCTTTTCTAATTTGTTTGCAAGCAGTGAACATATGACTTAGACATCATCTGGTATTGCTTTTCCTCAGAAAACCTTACATCCCCAGAGATATAAGTACAGATGGCATCAAAGCCCATAAAACCCCATGTAGTTTTATAAATTCCCAGAACTGCCACTGTCATAGTTTAGTTTCTGTATTGGTGCATACTGTCCCAAAATTGTTCTACAACACCCAAAGAAGCAGGTGTGAATAAACTCAGCCCCTTGACTGAATTTCACAAAAAGTTTTGGGTTTTTTTTACTTGAGGGATGGTGGGGGGAGACTATGATTGTAATTTCCAAGTTCCAGTCATGACCTAGATCCCTTTGTAACTCTCTCCCTAATCCCCATCACTCTGTCTGCTGCTCTTTTTTTTCCGTCTTCCCATTCCACCTCAATCAATCTAACTATACATATACATATACATATACGTGTGTGTGTGTGTGTATATATATATATATATATATATATATATATATATAATTTGCTGAGTGTCAGTCATATTCTGTGTATGTAGGATGCATCAGTGAACAAACAGATGAAAACCTATTACCCTTAGGGAGCTTACATTCAAATGGCAGGATAATAACAATAAACAATAGGACAAACAAGGACATAATATAGTAGAATTATAGAAATATAATATAGTTAGAAGGTGATAGGTGTGTTGAAAAAAAGAAAACATAATAAGGGCTGCCATATTTTTGTATTGAGCATTTGGATGGATTCAACTGGGAATCTTAGACTGGAAGAGATTTAAAGCTGGGAGACTTGTTGAGATCTCCAATGGAATGTACACAGCAAAGATGAAAACAGAAACAAGAATTGAGCCACAGGGCACTCCAACATGAAAAATAGAAAAAAGGGGAGAAAAAATCTTTTTTAGTTGAAAAATCTCTTGGTTTAATCATGTTCTAAAGAGTGTGACATTATATCTTATTCATATGTAAGTTTTCAAGTTAAAGCAGAAAATAAACATAGAATATATGTTTTTGAGAGATCCAAGATGGCTGATTAGACACAACTCCAGCACAACACCCAGTGAGAGAGATGCAGAAATCCAGAGATCTAGCTCCAGCTGAGGTACCAGGTGCATTTCAACGGGTCTGGTCTGATGGTGAGCAACGCCCACTCAGGGCAGACCGAGGTGGGGAGGGGTGCTGCTTCACCCAGAAAATGCATCTGACCAGTGAATCAGAGGCTCCCCTCTGGCACTCCAGCCCAGATACAGCACTTCCCCTAAAGCCCCATCAATACACAAAACAGGGGATCTTTGCCAGTCAAGCGCCAGGAATTGCAAGCATGGAATTGAATAAGAGCCTGTGGACTGAGCTATTGCCCCCTCCCTCTACCCAGAGAGAGAGGGAGCTGTAAGGGGGAGACAGCTGGGTGTCCTGGGCAGGCCCCTACCCCATGACCAGAGAGAGAGGGAACTGAAAGGGGGAGATGGCCGGGTATGGCTGGGTGGATCCCTACCCTCCCTGACAAACTCCAGAGAGCTGAAGCTCTGACTCTAATGGGTTGCACAGCCAAGTGTCACAGTCTGAGATGAACCCTGAATGATCCAGCCCAATGGAGGAAGGGCACAACCCACCACTAGAGAGGTGGGACTGGGCTACATGCTTTAACAAAAAACACAGGAAGCCCATGTAGCAACAGGATGGCATTCTTGACAACCCAGCAGCACCTACAGGTCAGTGGAAGAGGTGGGCATAATCTCCCAATATAAATAAAAAAGATGCAGGAAGCTTCCCTAGTAACCTGAAGGAGTCCCTAGAAACCCAGTAGCACCTCCACAGGCAGACACGCGACCTCATCAAGCAGCTCCCTGACAACACAGCCAGGTAAATCTGCAAAGACAGGAAAAAACCAGCACGATGAAACCATCAAAGACCAGAACACCTCTTCTTCTTCAAGGGATCACAACTCCTCAACAACAGAGGATCACAACTTCATCCAGGAGTGTGATGAATTGACAGAAACAGGCTTCAGAAGGTGGATAATAACAAACTTTTCTGAGCTAAAGGAAGACGTTCTAACTCAATGCAAAAAAAAAAAAAAAAAAAAAAAAAAAAAAAAAAAAAACCTTTAAAAAAGGTTGGACAAAATGCTAACTAAAATAATAACCAGCTTAGAGAAGAACATAAATGACCTGATGGAGTTGAAAAACATAGCACAAGAACTACGTGAAGCAAACACAAGTTTTAATAGCTGAATCAATCAAGCAGAAGAAAGGATATCAGAGATTGAAGATCAACTCATTGAAATAAAGAGAGAAGCCAAGACAAGAGAAAAAACAGTGAAAAGAAATGAACAAACCCTCCAAGAAATATGGATTATGTGAAAAGACCTAATCTATGCTTCATTGGTGCACCTGAAGATGATGGGGAGAATGAATCCAAGCTGGAAAACACGCTCCAAGACATTATCCAGGAGAACTTCCCAAGCCTAGCAAGGCAGTCCAAATTTCAAATTCAAGAAATACAGAGAACTTCATAAAGATATTCCTCAAGAAGAGCAACACCAAGGCACATAATCGTCAGATTCACCAGGGTTAAAATGAAGGAAAAAATGCTAAGGGCAGCCAGAGAAAAAGCTCAGGTCACCCACAGAGGGAAGCCAATTAGACTCACAGCAGATCTCTTGGCAGAAACCCTACAAGCCAGAAGAGAGTGGGGGTCAATATTCAACATCCTTAAAGAAAAGAACTTTCAACCCAGTATCTCATATCCAACCAAACTAAGCTTCATAAGTGAAGGAGAAATAAAATCCTTAACAGACAAGCAATTATTGAGAGATTTTGTCACCACAAGACCTGCCCTACCAGAGCTCCTGAAAGAAACACT